CCGAAGTCGCGAGCGCCGACAGAATCATCTCCCCCCTCCTCCCGAACCTTCCAGAACCTTCGCCGGAGAGCCTAGAACCTTCCGCCGCGCGGGTGGGGCCCACCTGTCGGTGGCACGGGAGAGCTCACTATGCTTTTACCCACCACCGCCGCGAAGCCTACTATACTTCTAGTAGCGGAACAGGTGGTTACTCGTGGGGCCCACGTGTCAGTGGCTGTGGTGGGGCCCGCGGGGGTGACGTAGGGGGGTCGGCGTGAATCTATCCGGAAGTGGGCACACGTGGCTCCCCCCGGTTTTGTTTTTGCGGTGACGTGGCGCGGTCGCGGGAAACACGTGTGCGGCTTTCGTGCGTAGAATATTTCCGTGGGTGGAAAAGGAAAGTACGTATTCAATATTCCACCATTGGGTTATTGTTAGTACTCCCTCCGTTTTTTAATAGATAACGCCGTTGACTTTTTCTCACATATTTGACTATTCGCCTTATTCAAAAATTTTATGTAAATATATAAGATATAAATCACACTTAAAGTACTATAAGTGATAAAACAACTCATAACAAAATAAATTATAATTACGTAATTTTTTTAATAAGACGAATGGACAAATATGTGAGAAAAAGTCAATGGCGTCATCTATTAAAAAACGGAGGTAGTATTATTTTTGGACTTGGATTGCGTCGGGGGGCGCACCTGTCAGAGAGTCAACTGCTCAACTCCAAGTGTGTGATGTTTAAAAGTGGCAAGAGACTTTAGGTGGATCAGCAACGTGAGACATATGCGTGTGGTTTTTTGTTGCACGGAGTACAAGAAACTTGCTGCGTTTTCAGGACAATTGTTTTTGACCCGTAGAAGTAGAACCCAGGATCCAAGGAAATGCAAAAATGATATGGAAAAAATTCTATATTGCATCCCTCGATTTGAGGATCAGTTTCAATCGGTGTCTCTTAACCGTGAAACCGGGTATACAATGTTCCTCAATTATCAATACTGGTCCATTTTGTTTTCTCAAGTGGGTTCGACGGTTGTTTTGTACTACATGGTTGAGTGGGGATTATATGTCAATGAAACGAGAAATTAAGAAGAGAAGGGGTTTCGAGGAGAATTTACTATATGCCATCCTTCGAAAATGAACAACCCCAAATGCCACTCTTGCATGCCATCTGGGAGGACGAGGTTGGAGCTAGCTAGCCATGTCGGAGGAGGAGGAAGAGAAGCCGAGGCTGCGAAACTAGCTGAAGTATGGCTAGAAAATGCCAACTGATATGTGAGCTTGTGGTTTCTCTTTTTTTCTTATGATTTTTTTTGAACGAATCGGCGAGCTGCCGATTTCATTGAATATAGATGGTTTTCTTGTGATTGACACATGGGTGGCATTATGTTTTATTTATTTTTAGGTGTCATGTTAGATAAATACCAAGCCAACACGCCACGTAGGTACCACGTCACTTGAAACCGGCAAACCACCATCCAAAACCTCCTTGAGACTATATTTGCAATGATTTTGAAAAAAAAAATGAGAGATGCGATGTACCCGATTTTACGGTTGAGGGATGAGATCCAATCAAGAGAGGGATCTGAAGTGAACTTTTCGAAATGACATCACTGTTCATCCAATGAAGATCAAAAACTAGTCCGTGGGCCATGGTGGGCCATGTTTATTATAGCTTGGGCCACTAGTATGGTGAAAACTCAGAAGGGCCCGTTCGAATAACAGGATATGAGATGTGGAATGGGCTTAGGAAATGAATAAAGGTTTGGATGAAATGAGGTGGAAAGAATGAATGATTAGGATTAAAAAGTTACAGATAGGTGGGAAATTAATCCATTTCTCATTATCCAAACAACACCAAAATGTACCACGTGCCTTTTTGGCTTAGATTACTTAGTCCAGGTCAGCCCCTGTAATTGCATAGGAATACTTAAGTAACTTGAAAGTCCTCTCAGTAAAAAGTAAAATATGTGAGAATAGATAGTATAAGCTTGGCACCATAATGCAATAGTGGATGAATAATAAGAGGAAACTTATGAATTTGATTGCATGCCTCATATATCTTTTGAAATAAAATTGAGAAAGAAACCGATATACATGTTTTTTTTGGAAAAATACTAGTTGTTCCATAAAACGAAAATATTTCTTTTATCGAAACTGATAGCAAGAGAGCTTCTAGTATTCCATTGAACATCAAGACAAAAAAAAACAATATATTTACAAAGTGCTTCTCTTCAGGAGAAGCAGAGATAAACAAGAAAAGGCCAAAATTAATGAAACAAATGCAAATGTACACTGTGCTAAATACTGCACTATAATTAAGGTGTATATATGCAATATTGTGCTGACAGCCTGACATGCATGTTCTGCTCCTTCAATTGGGCGTTTGTTTAGTTCCAAACTTTTTCTTCAAACTTTCAACTTTTCCATCACATTAAAACTTTTCTACACACATAAACTTTCAACTTTTCCGTCACATCGTTTCAATTTCAACCAAACTTTCAATTTTGGCGTGAAAAACACACCGGGCAATGTTCATCTTTGAGGAGCAGAGATTGATTACAGTCTGTGGCAGCCAGCTTTCAGGCACGCTTTTCTCTATTATTATCCAATCGGACGGTCGGATCGAGTCAAGTTTGAGACAAAAAGTCCTCTTGGCAGTGGGCACTGTACCAACATGGTATAGCTGTTTCAAGATTCCCGTCATAGTGGCCAAAATAGTTACCACTCCCCTGTCTACATACAAAGGGTTTTTTTTCCTTTATTCCTCTGTCCAAAAATAAAAAGTATTTTAAGAGTACTATTTGTCTCACCAATCCAATCACCTATTTCTCAATTTTTTTTCGTAACGTTGCTCTCACCAACTCTCACACTCTCTAACTTCCCCTTACTTATTAAGGGGTATATTTTTTTCCTCCTAAATATAGTCGGAATGAAACCTTAAGTCTCTCTTATATTTGTGGATATGGGAATATTCGTCTAGCTCTTGGAAGATCTGTTCGTAACAATAATTCATTTTCCATGTTGCTAATCAATGAAATATATATTATTTGAAATGAAAAATAATTACATCAAACTTTGCAATCATGTCTATATAACTGCTAAAGTGGTTATATCCAGTGATGTCACGTATGTGAAAGCTTTGACAAGTGGTTTTGCCAGCTAGGACAACAATATGTCTACAATCTATAGGCTATAATTGAAAGCCCATGGGGTTGGACAAATTTTTACCATGATGGACCAAGCTCACAATAAAACCACATAAGCGCGCATCTCAGGGTTTATTACCAAGTTGAGCCTGCTTCTATATGATATATTGTCAGTATACCTATTCTCAATCGTTGATGTGGGCGTAGAAAGTGATTACACATAGTAACCACGTAAAACTTTACTACCTAGACAATTTGCAAAATTTGAGGAGTAAAAGTAACGAGGATGCATAGTTATTTTTCATATTTTGTACTACATCCGCCCAAAATATAATTTTTTTAAGTATGAATTTAAACGAACAGTTATCTAAATTTATAATTAGAAATACTTATATTATATTATATTTTAGGATATTGGAATATTCTGAATACTATAATAAGACAAGCGTCACTCAACACCAAATATACAATGTGAAAGGCAGTGGTAATTAAGTGGAGTCGGCACTCAACAACAGTACGCATGTCAATGTTCAACTTCGGCATAGGTACACGTCATCTCGCCGACAGATCATCATCAGAATTCAGATAGATCCGAATCATACCCAGCTGGTGCAAGAACGCATCACAACGGGCCCCTGAACCCTAACGCGTATATGGTCCATGATGGATTGATGGATATGCATGGCTCTCGATATCTCTCCAAAAACGTGTGATTTTCACTGATGAAAAAACGTGTGATTTATGCTATCCTAATGCCAGCATTTCCCACGTGCACGATTGGAAACATTCCTGGATATTGCAGAGATCATATGTATCCATTTCTTGCTTAGGATAATTTGTTTTGTCAGATTATTTTCTTAAAGGAAAATTCCCTTCTCAAATTAAAGCTAAGCATGAGCTCGTTTCAGCGTGTAAACTGAGATTTTTTATTGAGAGGGAGATAAGTCATCAGTGCATGATTAATCAAGTTAATTATTATACACTAAATATTGGATTTATTTGATTTAAAAAACTTCAAAGTTTTTTATAAACTGAAAATTCTATATAGAAAATTTTTCATGAAACACACGGTTCAGCAGGTTGGGAAACATGCTCATGGAGAATAAGTAAGTTGTTGTTCTGAAAAACTGTATGTATTTGTGATATACAAGTATTCGTATCACTATTGGCATAATTTTGGGGTTTTTTTAATATCCTTTTAGGATGGATAGGCATGTGAGTTGTCTATTCTAAGCTCCTCATGGCCTTTTTAAGATAATGGAAGTACTTCTGGCCTGGTTATCTATGATCGTAAGTAAGACTTTTTAGATATAAATCTAACAAATTTAATTTATTTTTGTCATAAAAATTATACCCTAATAGAGTAATCGTTGGCCGAAGTCTTATCCTATCGAAATAAAACACGTCTTATATTTATATTTTAAGATGAATGGAGTATAAATAAAGCCATGATCAGAGTTAGCCAATCATAGTGAAGAAAGCAAACCCTGATGACCCACTCTAAATTAACATAAGTTCAAATAATAAATATATAGCTCAAATCATAAATTGTTTCAATCTTTTACATACTCTTGGCACCACATTAAATTAAAGACCAGCAATACCCTACTCTCTCCGTCCCACTCACTAAGACACACATGTATTTTAAAATTCAACTCTTTTAAATATTCGACTAATAAATAGCTTATTATAAATTAAATTTTATTTGATGAAAATAATATCATTGGATTATCATTTAAATTTACTTTCATATGGTTATGATTTTGTTGCTACAAATATTATAATATATGATAAATTTAAAGTCAAATATTTGTCCTGAAGACTATGACAAATTCGACCGTGTCTTTGGGAGTGAGACGGAGGGAGTGCTACATAAACACCAGAACCATTGTGATTTCTGAGCTCCATGGCATGCAGAGTTTCATTCACCTTGTCCATGGAGATCTCACAAGCCTTCGTCTTCGCCTCTCTTCTCCTCCTCCTCCTCCTCACATGGCTTCTCTTCCATCTCCTATCCTACCAAGCTCCACCACCCAATGGCGACGGTGGCCGGCGCATCCCGAGCCCGCCGGCCCTCCCCGTCGTCGGCCACCTCCACCTCCTCAAGAAGCCGCTGCACCGCTCCCTCGCCGCGCTGGCGGCGCGCTACGGCGGCGGCGCGGGGCTCCTCCTGCTCCGGTTCGGCGCGAGGCCGGTGGTGCTCGTCTCCTCCCAGGCCGCCGCCGACGAGTGCTTCACGGCGCACGACGCCGCGCTCGCGGGCCGCCCGGGGCTCGCGTCGCGGCGGCTGCTCACCGACGGCTGCCCCACCATCGCCACGGCGGGGCACAGCGCGCGGTGGCGCCACCTCCGCCGCCTCGCCACCGTCCACGCCCTCTGCGCCCGCCGCCTCGCCGCCACCTCCCCCGCGCGCGACGCCGAGGCCCGCGCCATGGCGGCGAGGCTCTACTCGTCCTCCTCGTCGTCGTCGGCGGCGTCGGCCGTCGTCGTCGGCGTGAAGCCGGCGGCGTACGGGTTCGTGGCGAGCGTGATCATGTCCATGGTCGCCGGCGAGCGCATGGCGGAGGAGGACGTGCTCCGGTTCAAGGCCATCACCGAGGCCGGGCTCGCGGCGGCGGGGGCGGCGAACCGGCAAGACTTCCTCCCGTTCCTCCGGCTGCTGGACTTCGGGAGAGCCCGCCGGCGGCTCGCCGGCATCGCCAAGGAGCGGCACGACTTCGGCCAGCGCATCGTCGACGAGTACAGGCGCCGCCACCGCCGTCGCCTCGCCGTCGCCGCCGATGACTTCTCCTCCTCGCCGCCGCGGCGTACGGTCATCGGCGACCTGCTCCGGCAGCAGGAGAGCTCGCCGGAGTCGTACGCCGACGAGGTCATCCGTACCGTCTGCTTGGTACGTACTCCAATAGTATAATCCACCTCGCATGCATCGTGTCAGAGTGACGTCACGCGCCACGTGGTAGAGTACTCCTAGCCGTCGATTTTCAATCGGACGGTCAAAAAATTCGTCCATCTCATCACCGCGAAATGAGGCCGATGTGTACTGCACTGCGAACTATAGCTAATTAATTAATTTGTGGCAATAATTCAGTGATTTTTTTTAAGTACGGTTGATACTAGTAGTATCTTTATAAGTTTGAAAATGAATTGAGTTGGTTTCACTGTTTATAGTACTTGAATGAATGATAATTTAACAAGAAAAAAATATAAAGAAAGCTATCATGTATGGCATTAGTCGTCAGTGATGATGCATCACACTAGCCATTTTGTTAATGTCAACAGTCTGATGTGTAGTACACACTGAGTGTTTAGTTTATTTACTAGTCACAATGATTCAGCATTGATTAAGTTAATGGTTTTGGTAATGATCTTTGACATATATGTCACTTCTACCAAAGGCTTAAGCCATGTTGCCATTGAAATTTGTTGCTTCTATATTCAAATTTAATCTTTTTCAACATGTGTGTAACTATACAGAGTTTACTACAAGCCGGAACTGACACATCAGCAAGCACGATCGAGTGGGCGATGGCTCTCCTCCTTAACAATCCAGATGTGCTCAGGAAAGCAACGGATGAGATTAACTCTGTTGTTGGCATGTCCCGCCTCCTCCAGGAACCCGACCTCGCTAACCTCCCCTACCTCCGGTGCATCATCACGGAGACGCTCCGGCTGTACCCTCTAGCCCCGCACCTTGTCCCGCACGAGGCGTCACGTGACTGCATGGTCGCTGGACACGTCATCGCACGCGGGACGATGGTGTTGGTCGACGTGTACTCCATGCAGCGGGATCCCCGTGTTTGGGAGGACCCGGACAAGTTCATACCCGAGAGGTTCAAGGGTTTCAAAGTCGATGGAAGTGGGTGGATGATGCCCTTCGGTATGGGGAGGCGGAAGTGCCCCGGTGAAGGCCTTGCTCTTAGGACGGTAGGGATGGCGCTAGGGGTTATGATACAATGCTTTCAGTGGGAGCGCGTCGGAAAGAAGAAGGTTGATATGAGTGAAGGTTCTGGGCTCACCATGCCTATGGCCGTGCCTCTCATGGCCATGTGCCTACCACGTGTGGAGATGGAGTCTGTGCTCAAAAGTCTCTAGAAATTTTTTTTTCTTTGATACGTTATAGGATCTGTCACGCCAAATAATTGTTTTGTGTAATTGATTTCAACCAAATAGTCAAATATTCGGTCATTAGCTCTCGTGTTCATAGGTTAATTTATACCATTTTAATTACAATACATGCACTTCAAATTAAAGGACAGGAGATCAAAATCACTGGGATAATTATAAACAAAGCAATCCAGAAACCTTTGAACCTATGGTAATACTTCGTCCGTTTCAGGTTATAAGACTTTCTAGCATTGTCCATATTTATATAGATGTTAATGACGGAAGTCTTATAACCTGAAACGGATATGTCTAGATTCATTAACATCTATATGAATATGGGTAATGCTAGAAAGTCTTATAACCAGAAACGGAGGAAGTACTACTTTAGGGAAATTGATGCTCGATTTATGGTAAATAAAACATAATTAAAAAGCCAAAGTTCACCTAGGAGGAAAACAAAGCCTCACTTGAAATCTCAGTTCATTTTGGGGTCAAGATTTCCTCATTTTGGCCCCAAAACTGCAATCAGGCCTCTCTTTTCAGGCCTATAGGCATGCATATGGTCTCTACTCCACTTTTTTTTAGGCCCAAAATACATTTTTTTTCTCATCTGGCCCAAAAGGCCCAAAATACTTGCTTACGCCTAATATGTACTTCCTCCATCCCATAATGTAATTATTTTTTTACAAGCACGGGTATTAAAAAATAGGTAGAGATAATTGAAAAAAGATTATGATTAGTGGAGATGAGAAACAAGGTGAAGAGAATGGTTATGCTTGGCTAAGAGAAGATGAAGGTGAAAAAATAGCTTCATTTTAGTATAAGTCACTGTGCGAGGAAGTAGTTGAAAACTTTGAAGCAAGGGATATCCATAAGTTTGCAGTGCCGTCCAAAATTATCTATCGCCATTAAAACCGGTCATACATCCATCTTAATTGTGTAATTTCGTAACCTTTTAGGAACTACGGATAAGGCTTTAAAGCACCTTTGAAACACATGAACTTGTACAGCATTTTCAAACGAAATTAGTTCAACTCCTCGGAAATTCCACCAAAAGTCCCCCATTCTACAGTAGGTATAATTAGTCATATGTCCATTTATATACATTAATTGTAAATGTTCAACTTGAGTTTGAGTTCATCCGTAGCTTGATCATATGTCCATCCATAGCTCTAATCTTGATTTTTTTTCCATTGACGCACACGTTGATTAATTTAACCTCACCAAGAGCTCCTCTAAAGTATGATCCGTCGTTTTAAGGTGGATATTTTGTCAGTTTTTTAGAAACACAATACAAACGTAGACATTAACAACACGTACACACCCGCTTCTATGAGCACACACGCACACACTATCCCTATAAACACCTCTAGAAAACTGGGCCAATATATTTTGAGATTAACATAATCACCAATGGTCCTTTGAATAAAAAAGTAATTTTTGCAGTAATTGGCTAACTAGTACATTTTCCTTGAATTTTTTCCAAATTTCATTCAACTCTACGTTCCGAGGATGTCTTCTATGTTGCGTTTAAATATGGTGTTGGCTTGAGTTTTTTCATTGCAAGCCAAACAAGACGTGTCAATAGCGTACAATATAATTAAGTATTAATCATTATAAATTTGAGAAATTGACTTATTTGATTTAACTAAGTATTATTTTTATATATAATATTTTAAAAATACACCGTTTAAACAGTATGAAAAAAACATGTCTGCTTAGTAAGTAGTTACACGGTTAAGCTGAATAAAATAGGACACCATAGATAGCGAGGATGCATGTCATCTGCAGCATTACTCACTGACGTGTGGACCCTACAGCCCCTCGGACCCATATGTCAGTGAGCAGCGACGTGCCAGCCACAGTTTCGGTACAAAATTAGAAGTTGTCTAGAAGTGGCTAGGTTTTATTTAAATCCATTATTCTAAAAAAGGGAAGTTGTCTAGAATGCGCCAAATGTCAATCTCCTCCATTCGATTGACGGAATAGCAGCTTCGATGGCGACGCTTAGCTGAGCTGACAGTGACCTCAGCCATGGCGGCCAGCAGCCGGCATGGGCCATTCATCAATTGGAGTGATGGGCTCTTCCTCTTCTTGTCTTCTTCTTCCTCGAGGAATCGCTTCCTGAGAGTGTTCTTGCCGTTCCCGGATCCGTCGACGATGATGGCTGGTCTCGAGGTTGCCACGACAGCGGTGACCGGCGGCGACGCTAGCCTGGTTGTCGTCGTCGGCGTTCTGTTCTTGATGGTCGCCGTTGTTGTGATGACGAGGTTGGGTGATGGAGGTGCGGCGCCGAGCCCGCCGGCGATGCCGGTGCTCGGCCACCTGCACCTGATCAAGAAGCCGCTGCACCGCTCGCTGGCGGAGGTCGCCGCGCGGGTGGGGGCGGCGCCGGTGGTGTCGCTGCGGCTGGGCGCGCGGCGGGCGCTGCTCGTGTCGACGCACGCCGCGGCGGAGGAGTGCTTCACGGCGTGCGACGCCGCGGTGGCGGGGAGGCCGCGGCTGCTCGCCGGGGACGTCCTCGGGTACGGCCACACCACCGTCGTGTGGGCCTCCCACGGCGACCACTGGCGCGCGCTCCGCCGCCTCCTCGGCGTCGAGCTCTTCTCGAACGCGCGCCTCGCCGCGCTCGCCGCCGACCGCCGGGCCGAGGTCGCGTCCCTCGTCGACGCCGTCCTCCGCGACGCCGCCGCCGGCGGCGGCGGCGGCGGCACGGTGACGCTCCGGCCCAGGCTGTTCGAGCTGGTGCTCAACGTGATGCTGCGCGCGGTGACCGCGCGCCGCCACGCCGGCGACGAGACGCGCAGGTTCCAGGAGATCGTCGAGGAGACGTTCGCGGCGAGCGGCTCGCCGACCGTCGGCGACTTCTTCCCGGCGCTCCGGTGGGTCGACCGTCTCCGCGGCGTCGTGGCCACCCTACAAAGCCTTCAGAAAAGGCGCGACGCGTTCGTCGCCGGCCTCGTCGACGACCACCGCCGAACACGCCGCGCCGCCGCCGCCGCCGCCGACAAGGATCAGAAGAAGAACGGCATCATCGACGCCCTCCTCACGCTGCAAGAAACCGACCCCGACCACTACACCGACAATGTCGTCAAGGGCATCGTCCTGGTGCTGCTCACCGCCGGCACCGACACGTCGGCGCTGACAACGGAGTGGGCGATGGCGCAGCTGGTGGCGCACCCGGAGGCGATGACGAAGGTCAGGGCCGAGATAGACGCCAACGTCGGCGCGGCGCGGCTGGTGGAGGAGGCCGACATGGCGAGCCTCCCCTACCTCCAGTGCGTCGTCAAGGAGACCCTCCGGCTCCGCCCCGTCGGCCCGGTGATCCCGGCGCACGAGGCCATGGAGGATTGCAAGGTGGGTGGCTACCATGTCCGGCGTGGCACGATGATCCTCGTGAACGCGTGGGCGATCCACCGCGACGGCGATGTCTGGGGCTCGCCGGAGGAGTTCAGGCCGGAGCGGTTCATGGACGACGGCGCCGGCGCCGGCGCGGTGACCGCGGTCACCGCGCCCATGCTGCCGTTCGGGCTCGGCCGGCGGCGGTGCCCCGGCGAGGGGCTCGCCGTGCGCCTCGTCGGCCTGACGGTGGCGGCGCTCGTGCAGTGCTTCGATTGGGAGATCGGCGAAGGCGGCGCCGTCGACATGGCCGAAGGCGGCGGGTTGACGATGCCAATGGCGACGCCATTGGCGGCTGTCTGCCGGCCTCGAGAGTTTGTCAAGACTGTGGTGTCTGATTGCTTCTGAATATATGATGTTTCGGTGTAGTTTTCTGAAAGAAAATAGTAAATCCAAAATGTGATTTGGATTGTTTAGTGATGGCAATGTTTAGAGGGGTCTTGAAATTCAAATTTTAGAAATATAGAATAAATGTTTGCTAAGTAAATAGTTGTACCTGTACAAGCTTATTAATGAACGGACCCATCGGTTCGCTTATTTGGGGAATAAACGAAACAACATATTTGCAAATTAAAAATAATTTATGAATAAAATTTTTATATACGTGTTCTTAGCGATCTGAAAACAAAGGCTGAAAAATAAACTTCGATGAAAAAAAATCACAAAATCAACTCCAAATTTTATATTAAAAATTTAAATTTTGGCTAATAAGTATAAGTATAAACGAAAAGATGAGGCCGGAAGAGCGATTATAGTAGTCTCGTTAGGGAAAAAAGTACTACTTTAGGAAAGTTAGGCCAAGAAGACAATTACCCAAGTTGAGAAATAATCGAGAGATTCACATTTTTAGTAAGGGCTCATGGGAGTCACATTCTCTTTTATATACTAAAATCATGTTTGAATGGACCACCTGATTAAGTCATAGCGCCTTATATCCAATGAAAAGTTGACAACTGTCATTCTAAGTAACAAACACTATTGATTGAGCAACAGTATGCATGTTGCAGCAAGCTTACCACATCAGAATTGCCCAAAAATGTAGGAAAAGAATAGAACAGTGACAACCAATGTGTGAAAGTAACAGTTTAGTCAACATATATACTGTATTGAAATATAATATAAAAAGTACATATAATTCAGTTCTGAACAAAAAAAAAGTAAAAATATATGAGATGACATTTGAAAGGGTCAATTTTACGTCGTGTGCAGCAGTATACTGCACAATTTATTGGCTAAAATGATAGCTGAATTTTTTTCCCAGTAGAGCTTAAACATTTTTATACTTTTTGTAAACGAAAGAAAAAGTGATATTTGATGGATGGGTCAAGCAAGAAAGGTGAAAACCCATCAATGACACAAATAGAAGCCAATGAGATTATGAGAACAAATATTGACAAACTTATCAGCCTGAGATAATCTATACCGCTATAAAAGATAATAGTGGTGGTGGGGGACCCCACCACTACTTTTGTACATATTACAAATTAGTCTATGATATTGTGCAATACTTTAATATTTGTTTCAATCATGTAAATAACATATATTCAAATAAGAATGGTCAAAGCAAAGTATGTATATTTTACCCATAGCAAAGCATTTTGCTAGTGGAAATCTAATATCTAGAGGAGGATCAAATACCTTAACACTACTACAGATGGACATCAGGCGCACTGTTGGTTTGTGCTTGATCAAATCAGTTCATGCAATTAAATTATTTGGTTAGTACATTGGAATCACCTGATGACAATGGTGAGGAAAATTTAAAAAAAGGACTGCAACCCCCATAATTCCAGAAACCACCTCTTATTAGGGAAAGGACACCTGAGTTCTGATAGGGGAGAGACAAATTAAATTTGAAGATAGAAAAAACAGGGGAGATACTAATAAACTACATCAAAGAGAGGCGTCGAGTAGAAGCTGGCTGGAGCATTGAGGTCAGGGAAAATAAAATCTAAGCAATATGGCCCATCTGCTGGGAAAAAAAAAGGGAAAGAAGAAATGTTAATTAATCCTAGCGAGCTGCCTAATATCATTGTATCAAAAGATCAGTGATTGTGAATGTGAAACAATAAATACAGTAGAAACATGTTGTGAGAGGCGAGAGAATCTTGTGGAGTTGTGGAGCCGATTCATGGAGCTAGTACATGTTGCACTTGCAATTGTACAGCAGCAATCCAGGACGAAGCAGCTGGAGCTCTCGAACAGATGCAACATCAAACGATTGAAAAGAGAGTAGGAGATCGGAGATGGTGGTTATGGCAAAGAGATATTGACTGAGAAGATGCCTGGCCTGCAGAAGCTCTCTGAATATGGACGCAGGGAGCGTGCCTTCTCCCTCGTGGGGCGATGCGCTTCCGCGAGAGAGGAGGAATGGACGGGTGCCTTGAGGACAAAAAAGATCAGGAGGTGGACAAGATTGGCTATTCTACTATAGGAGCCTTTGCTGTGCGAAAAAGTTAAGGAAAAAAAAATATACCTTTGACTCCTCCAACTATCTAAACCGATGCAAACAATGTTCCTAGATGGTTTTGGAGATGGTTTTAGTTGACGTGGCGCCTACGTAGCGGTTTTGACCGAGTCTTCGTCCTACTTAACGCTTACGTGGCATTAGAATAAAAATAAAATTAAAAAAATATGTGGGACCCATATATCATTCACACACAAAAATGGTTTGTGGGACCCACATGTCATCCTCCCTCTCCTTCCCTTCTTCCTCCCCCACTCTCTCCCTTACCTCTCTCTCTCCCCGACCTCTCTCTTCACCAGAGCGGCGGCGGCGGCGGTCGGGAGCGGCGGCAGTGGTGATGGGGAGGTTGGGTTCTTGATTGGTGTCGGATTCTTGGTTGGTTGATGGGGTTTGTGAGGTGTGGCGCTGAGTTGGAAAGATCCGACATATACTCCGGCGCGGACGGGTCGGGTCTCGCCGGCGCCGCCGCGAGGGGGGAGATGGATCGGGACGACGAGTGGCTGCGCCGCGCGCTGGCGGAATTTGGAGGAGGAGGCGGCGGCGTGTGGGAGCTCGTGGATGCCGCGCTGGCCTGTGCCGCGCACGACCGCCCCGACGAGCTGCGCGCGCGGCGCGACGGTATCGTGGAGCGGCTCTACGCCCGGCGGCGGCTACAACAACTGAGGTTTTTTTTTTTAATTTTCTTTCACCACCTCGCCGACGAATTCGATCAAAGAAACCATTGAAATTTGACACGAGCTGCACGTTTTTTCGTTTTGTTTCCTCACAGCCGGAGGACGAGCTGCTGAGCTTGCTGCAGAGCCTGGCAGACATGGACATCCCGTACAAGGCGCTCCAGGTGAAAACAAAAGCTTTTTACCCCCATTCTTCTTTCACCGTCACTGCTGTTCTGTTCCCCTTGCAACAAAAGGAGAGGAGATGAAGTTGAAGTTCCTGCTTTGTGCTTTTGCAGGAGACGGACATCGGACGGCATGTGAACGGTCTGCGCAAACATCCCTCCGGTGAAGTCCGGCTACTCGCCATCTCATCCTCGTCTTCCTCATCGGCCTCGCCATGGACCGGCTCCTCGGCGGCCGCGACGGCGGCATCGTGGCTCGAGTCCGGATCTGGCTCCGCGACGGGAAGCACCACGGTAGTCGCCGTTGCCGGCTCGACGGGCATCTCGGCCACCAGCTGCTTCTCGTTGCCATGGAATCCCTCCCCACGGTGGTAGAAGCCGCCGTACCTATACGCATCCCGCCGGTGGAGGCCGCCGCTCCTCCGGTGAAGAGAAAAGCCGGGGGGAGAGAGAGAGATAAAGGAGAGAGAGGGGGAGGAAGAAGGGAAGGAGAGGGAGGATGATACGTGGGTCCTACAATATATATATTTTTTGTATGACATATGGGTCCCACATATTTTTTAATTTTTGTTTTTATTCTAATGCCACGTAAGTGCTACGTAGGAAAAGACTCGGTCAAAACCGTCACGTAGGCGCCATATCAGCCAAAACCAGGGATATTGTTTACACCGGTTTTGATAGTTGGAGGAGTCGATATACCCGGTTTTGTGGTTGGAGGATATGAATACTCGGACGATAGTTGAGGGAGTCAAATTATACTTTTTCCAAAAGTTAATGTACGTCCGTTTGCTTTTTTTGGCCCAGATGATACTTGTGTTGGGCCGTCATTTTTCTTTTCGTTTTATGGGCTAAACGCATGGATTTTTTTTACTTGGCCTATTTCATTTTTCTTGCACATGTTGGGCTGAACACATTTGCCCAATCAAGTGTTTGTGATTATGTTTTTCTGTTTTATTTTAATTCGAAACTTTTTGTGTAAAAGTTTTTATACCGGATATTTTACATTACATACAAAGTTCATATGCTAAATATTTATATGTATAAAGTTTCTATACCAATTATTTTATGTACAAAGCTTATATACCAATTTGTCATATGTTGAAAGTTTCTATATATAAACTTTCTAGGTATAAAGTTTCTATGTATAAAATTGCTACCTACTATATTTTTTTATATTATTTTTTTGCCAGCTCAAAGCAAAAAAATATGGGCTTTTTATCTATTCACACATAGGTCGAAAGGAGAGGGAGGGCATGTAGTTAATGAGCCTTTTCAAGGAACTAGTTTTGGATGGATTTTTGAATTCATCGTGGACTCCCGCACGTAGAAGCCTTACCACAAACTTCCTCCATTTCACAATATAACACTTTCTAACATTGTTCATATTTATTTATAAGAGAATCCACTCAGTGCCATTGAGTTTTGCCTACTTCTACAATATACCCATGACTTTGTCAAGTTGAACAATATGCCATTATGTTTTCTTTAACCTTCACTACGTGCCATCACAGAACAGTTAGCATCTGTTAGCGATGTAAAAAGACCTATTTGCCTCTAACTTATTATATATGTTAGCCATCTTTATTCCAATTTTCAAAGAAATTCATCGCGTATGCATTTTCATATATACATCGGTGCTCATATATTAAAACTAATCTGAGTAGCAGTGCTTCCAAAAACGAATGGATTCGCAGAAACTAGTATCGGTAAAAATGTAAATACACGCCTCTACCACCTGCTAATCTCAACTCAACGGATGGATTCACAGAGATGGAGATGGATCAACGCCTCTACAAAGCTCGATCAGACCTTGAGCTTGAAGCTGTAGTTGTTGGAGCGGATTCGGATCCGCCTGCCGGCGACGAGGTTGTCGACGACGAGGTTGCAGGTCGCCTTCCCGGTCATCTTCCACAGCTTGATGGCGCCGAACTTGATGCGGATCGGCACGCGCGCCCACACCGTGAGCGGCACGAACCCGGCCTATTGCTGCTGCAGCAGCTGCGCCACCACGGCGCTGTCCAGCTGCGTCTCGCCGGCGACGGCGACGGCGAGGACGAGCACGGCGAGCAGCGTCCAGCACACGCACCGACAGCACCGCCGCCCGCGGCTCCTGCGCCGACGCCCACCGGGTGGATTCGGTGGTAGTCCATTGAGATGGAGACGCTGCTTGCCGGGCGGCTGGCGGCGCGTCGATGGGACCCCGGCGACCAGCCACGCGTCGATGGGGAGGCC